GGTAGCTGGTGAACACAGGATAGATGGTGAACACAGGGTAGATGGTGTAGACAGGGTAGCTGGTGAACGCAGGATAGCTAGTGAACACAGGATTTTATATACTCTTTTGTGGTTCAGCGAGGTTTGAAACTTTCCACTTATTTTTTATTTTAAAAAATACCATTAATATGTAATCAATCAACACTAGTGTATACATTTTGCCTTTCTGATGATGGCATGTGTCCATGTTCTATTTATTTAATAATTATTTACATAATTCTATACATTCATTAGTTCCATTTTCCATTCACATCATTTCATATGCTCATCATTTTCCTGAATTTTGAATACAAGTATTGTTAAAGATTTAAAGGGTTCTAAAATCCTAGATTGAGGGTTGCGAACCTTTAGAGTCTTCAGAGTCAAAGGGAATAATACTAAAATTAAATTGCTTGTTCAACTCAAAGTCTGTTCAGTGCTTTCTATTTGCTAGTGGGACTATTTTAAACCAACATTGCTTCAAACATACAGGTTGAAAATAGCACCATATATTTCCTTAAGTGAGCATGTCTGAAAGAATCAATATATTGTTAGGTTGCTCCATCTTGTGTGAAAGTGATTTGATCTTTTTTTTTAGTTCCCTTACTTTATAATTGTGTTTATAGCCTTAAAAAGGTGCTTATGTCTTTTAAAAATGTTTTATGTTTTTAAAAATGTTTAAATTTGAACCTACATTCAGAACATTGCAAATGGCTAAGAACACAATGTTAAAGTTCTACAACACAAAAGAACTCATGCCATAAATACTTTATTGTGGTGATATGCCTTTGATTTAAATTGGGATACATTTAGAAGGAAACTTTGTGTTGTGATAATCTTTGAAGAATTGGAAGGAAAATCTTTGCCTGATTCATTATTTTCCTTGAAAAAAAATAGCATAGAGTTGCAGGCTTGGACACTTTATTTCCCTCCATCCCTTTGTTTCTTCCATAAATGCAAGTCATAATAAAAGAAGAGCAAACGGGCCTTCCTTTTCTTGATTTTACTCCGTTTTAGTTGTCATTACTGAGAAATCCCTAACTCTGTGTTTCCTCTGTGTTCAGGTATATGTCCCGAGTCCACGGTATGCATCCCAAAGAGACCACCCGGCAGCTGAGCTTAGCTGTGAAAGATGGTCTTATTGTCGAAACTCTAACAGTGGGCTGCAAAGGTTCAAAAGCTGGTATTGAACAGGAAGGATATTGGTTACCAGGAGATGAGATTGTAAGTATATTTTATTTGATAAATTTAGAAATCGGCATTTTTTTAAGTATTAATATAACTTATAGAAGTTCACTGTTAGAAATTTAATAATTGTTAACATTTTTATTAACATTAAGGCTCTATATTGATAGCTTCCTTGTATTACTAGGAGAAAACTAACTTTTACAAAAATCTTGCTTTTCTGTATGTTATCTTACATCTAAAAATATAAAATTAAACTTGGGCAGTAGTGGCGCACACTTTTGATCCCAGCACTTGAGAGGCAGAGACAGGTGGATCTTTGTGAGTTTGAGTTTAGCCTGGTCTACAGGGCAAGTTCTAAGACAGCCAGGGCTTCACAGAGAAACCCTGTCTCGAAAAAAAATAAATAATAAATTGATTTAAAGTAAATGTCCTTATAAATCATGGCCCTTTCTGTGCTTTCTTCAGGTAATGTTAGTTAAGAACTATTTCAATGCAGGACAGTGTTCATACTGTCTAGGTAGATGGAAAGGGACACTGCCTGTTTAGGACAGCGGTCTCACTTGGATGGCACCAAATCCTGAGGCAGACTTGACACAGAGTTTTCATCAACAATACAAAGGTCCCAGATGCTAGACTGGCCATGGTCCACAGTGACCAGTGACTCTGGCAGCATTGGGCTCTGAGCATCAATCAAATAGGATGAATAGAAAGTTACTTCTTTCTGTACTGAACCTTCAGCTAGCTCCCACTGTGACTATTCTTAAGGGCGCTTTACTCATCTCACCTCCAGGACATGGTTTCATACTGAAGGATATATACACAAAGATTGATTTCATACATGGTATTTCTATCTCCCTATCATATTTTTTGATATTTTAACTAACTAATTAGAAAAGCTTATTATAATAAACATCTTTTAAGATAGTAGGTTTCAAATGTATGTTTTGGGGATTTAGTTATATAATTCTCTAAAAATCTAAATTTTAAAAAAATCTCATAAAATCTTAAAAAATGGTTCATTGCGGCAAAATTTCCTGAAAGATTTTTCTTCATTTCATTTTCTGGTACATAAAAAAAGCCCATAGATTCAGTGAGACTGACTGTAGAACTACCACCAAGTATTTCTGGTAATTCTAAATGTAGGAAGTTGTTCAGGCCTAAAAGTTTTGTCAATTTCATATATATGTCAGAGCCTCAGAAAAGAAAATTCATATTTCTGAAAACGGAAAACATGGAAGAAAAATCATTACTTGTATCAGGATAATTTAATTTATGAACTGGAAATATTCCTGGAAAGAAATGGGACAGTTGTCATCAGAGCAGTTTCCTGTCAAGTCCCTGCTGCAGCTGGAAGCTGTGCAGTAGTATGTGGCACAGCTAGCCAAGATAGAGCAAAGGGCGAAACAGAGTCAAGCGTGATTCTGAGCAGTGCAGACAGGATGGTATATTCTGCCCCAAGCATTTGGACACGTAGAAATTCAGAAAACTGTGTGGAGAATGCCTCAAGTGGGAATGTAACTGGTAACTGAGCTTACTCTGCGCTCTTGGAGTTGCGGGTCGTGTGTACATATTTCTTAGAGTCAAGGATTTGTTTTCTCCTTTAAGATGTGTGTGTGTGCTGGTGGTGGTGGCGCACGCCTTTAATCCCAGCACTTGGGAGGCAGAGGCAGGCGGATTTCTGAGTTCGAGGCCAGCCTGGTCTACAGAGTGAGTTCCAGGACTGCCAGGAATACACAGAGAAACCCTGTCTCGAAAAAACCAAAAAAAAAAAAAAAAAAAAAAAGTTGTGTGTGTGTGTGTTTTGTTATGATATATATATATGTGTGTGTGTGTATATATATGTATACATATATGTGTGTTGTTTTATATATATATGTACATGTATATGAATGTTTATGTGTGTGTATGTGTGTATATACACTTTTTTCTTCCTCAGACTAAAATTTTTTTAATTCATCAAGCAATTAATTAGCTTCTTATATGTTTCCCACAGCTTTAGGTTCTATACTCCTTTTTATTTTTACATATTTTCTCTAAACATATTTATAATCCTCTTTCTGTCTCTTTTTTTACTAAATGAACTCTTAAAGTAACTGCAACTATATAGGTTTAATGCTAATTAGTTCTTATTCACAAGTAGTTTTATACTAAATATGCATATGTAATATAACTGTATATATCAAACTTGTATTTATAAAATATGTAACTTTAAAGACTCAAAGGCAAAGTACCTATGGGACAGGTTAATGTCTATCTTAAGCATTTCTTGCTTACATGTCTGGAATTGTTTAAAACTTCACTGAATCCTCAAATGTAATGTGGACATACTAATATTTATTTCATTCAACTAAAGATTGTCTTAGTTACTATTGTATAACTGTGAAGAGACACCATGACCAAGATAATTCTTATAAAAGAAAGCATTTAATTGAGGGCTTGTTTAAAGTTTCAGAGGGAGTATGTAGCATGCAGGCATCCAGGCAAGGGGCCTGAGTGCTTATATCCTGGTGCACAGGCAAGCAGGCAGGCAGGCAGGCAGAGAGAGACATGCACTGGGCCTGATGTGGGCTTTTAGAATCTCCAAGCCCACTCCCAGTAACATATCTTCAACACATCTCCTTTCTAAAAAGTTTAACAGGGGAATCAAGCATGCAAATATATGTGCATGTAGCGGCCTTTCTCATTCAAACCACCACAAGGATTAAATGAAAATCTGTCCATGAGGACTACACAGATATACCCAAAGCAAGTATTTGACCAGTAAATAAGGATATGTAGCAACAATCTCTTATGCAGAAAGGCAATAGAATTAATAATAATTTAGTGTGTATTTCTAAACAGCTAAAAGAATGGACTTTAAATAATTATGTTAATTAGCCTGGTTTAATCATTCCACAATATATATATCAAAGCATCACACTGTATCCTATAAATTCATAATTATTACCTACAAATTAAACTTTAAAATATTTAAAGTGTCTGTTGACAGTATAGTAGAAGCATCAATTTTTTAAAAAAATAATTTATTTCTTTTTACTTCATGTGCATTGGTGTTTTGCCTGCATGTCTGTCTGTGTGAGTGAGGATGTCAGATCCTCTGGAACTGGAATTACACATAGATGTGAGCTGTCGTGTGGGTGCTGGGAATTTAACTTGTGTCCTTCGGAAGAATAGTCTGTGTTATAACCACTGAGCCATCTCTCCGAGCCAGAAGCATCAACTTCTTATTGACCATATAACCAGAGTCAGTTTTAGACTATTTACTTTGTAACCAGTATTCTCCATTCTAAATCCTGTGAAGAGCTTGTTCTTGAAAACACTAGTTCTTATCGAAGGTGTAAAGAGAAGCTGACTGACTACATCAATATTTCACTACTTGGTAATACACCACTCGCTTTGCAGCGAGTGTCCCCATGTCCTTGGACACCCACAAGCTCATGTGACTAACATGTTACCTGTAACACAATATGAGATTCCACACTGCCCAGGCTTTGTGTATTAACGCTTGTCATCTGAACACAGAGGTAGGTCTAAGCTGTGAACTGACTAGTTAATAAATACTCTTCACACCATAGACACTATATATGTTATATAAAGGTTCTCTCTGTCGTGTAATACCTCAAGAATGTTTGATGGTAGGAAGGGCTACATTTTCTCATTTGCAGAAAGTTCAGTGGGCCAGGGGTCTGCATACCAGCATTTGGGACTTTATAGTTTCACTACTTTGTGTGTGATTTCAATCACTTTGGTGTCCTAAAACTTGTTTTTAAACTGTGGTATGTTGATCACTTCGTTCAGAGTTATGATAGACTTTTAGTAAGGCAGCTCTCTTATTTTAAGAACAGGTGAGACTGTTCTTCTATACCTCTGAAAAGAGCATCTGTAAAGCAGAAATGGGCAAACAAGATTACTTCTTGAGTCTCACAGGCTATGTCTCCTGAGTTACTTTATGTAGCAGAGGTTGTATGATGCTTGTCTTTACTCCTGTCAAGTGTGGAGGAAGAGAAGGCAATGAGTATAGTTTCCCTTTCTCCCCCACACTCTGATGAACAGAGCTTATGTCAGTTGTTGGTATTACACTGTTAATGTGCTCCTACTACTTCTTCTTCTCTAGTGCCTATTTTTAACAACTTTAAAAAAATGAGTGTTAGATCATTATTTTTATTAAGTACGGCAATCGTGTCCTAAAAGCTCACTCCTATATGAAACTATATCTGTTTTTGAGGATGCTGGCATATTATAATCCTATATCACTAAAATTCCTTCTTCCAGCACAGAAATATTCTCAGACATTTTTTAATGGAAACCTCATATACAAATTGCAGCTTCTTGTGTAAAAATGCCAGTTCTTTTGGAAAACTATGGTTAAAAGGTACAGTGTTTAAGCATCTTCATGGTGATTTCACATGTCTATATGAGGTGGTGACTTGAAACAGCAATCATTCACAGCAAGACTACTCCTGTTTTTAAGTGGCCTGCTTACAGAGTAGTCAGTAAATAAGTAAAAGTATACACACTAATCTGTTTTCTAAATGACATACACACAGTACTGAGAAACACTTGGGAATTTTTGTTATGTCAATACCTTTTGTTTTCTGAGTTTTTAAAGCTAGCAGTGCTTTTCTAGCACTCTGTTCAAGATGGGCTCAGTATTGCAAAATAATTAATGAATGCATAATACACATATGCATTCGCATAGACTTGAATGTATACATACCATACATGCATGCATGCTCATGTTCATAGATGCTTTATCATCTGACTACCCTAAAACACAGGATTAAGGGCCATATTTAATCTATATTTCTACCATCTCATCACCCCTTAACCCTTAAATTTTGAGTACTCTATTTCTTTGGCAGAGTTCTGCCATTACCTAGGGGAGTGAGTTTAGGATTTACTAGTTATATTTGTAATCAATATAACTTAATGTCTCACAAATTAACCTCTTTGTTTTTAAAGTACTCACCAAGGGTGGAAATGTATTTCCAAGATTATTGTAAATAGGAAGCAGATAGCCTTGGGTTTGGATCATT